TTTTTGACTATTAGATGGTATTAACAATGAAAGAAGTCACCGTTCAGAGAATTGGACAATACAGAATGAAAGCATTGGCCCATCATATCTGCACCGAATGTTTGAGTGAGAAATACTCCTTATGCCATTCTCCCACTGTCTCCTCATAAACCGGCATATGCGTGTTTTGGGATAAGTGTCTAACTCGAATAAGAGTTGGAATGCTTTGCTAAATCTGCTTCCAGCACACACTCACCTGAACCATTCACGGTGCAAACAAAGAGTTTTCTCATTTTTCTTTTCCTCCTTTTGCCAATTGTTTTAACTTCATCTCCTCTCATTCACCATCCTTCCACAAGTGGGAAGAATTTCTCCTCATGTGATCTATGTAGACCTTTTGTGAAATTGAACTCTTCCATCAAACTTCTCTTCTGCAAAACAAAGTCCTAACTTCCCCAGTCTACCTCTGTAACTGACATTTCTTATCTTAAGTTTCTTGGAACCATTGTTGTTTTTTCTTAGTACTATCTAATCCTTCTTAAAGCTCAGAGCACTGAACTGGACAAAATACTTCAGCTGAGGCTGAACAAGTGTCTTGTACAAGTTTAGCATAATCTCCTTGATTATGTACTTTATGTCCTTATTAGTGATTGGTTAATAAAGTCTTTATTAATTAGTCTCTCAATCTGTCCTGCCTCCTTCAATGACTTATATGTGTGTGATCCCAGGTCTTTCTGCTTGTTTAGAATAGCACTCTTTCTTTCGGATTGGCTTGAATCTTGAAACAGAAGCAATATCCGATGGATTGCAGCTGTCAGATGTGTTTCAGGTGCCCTCTCAACCTTCGCTTCTCCAAGGAAAACAGCACCCAGGCTTATCCATTCTTTCCTCAAATCTCAAACCCTCCAGCCCAGGCTGTATCCCGGTAAATCTCCTCTGCACCCTCTCCAATGCAATCATATCCTTCCTCTAATGTGGTGACCAGTACTGCATATACAACTCCAGCTGGGCTCACATGGGCTGCTTTCAGCACAACCAACCCATTTTTACCTGCAATGGTCCCCATTATCAGCGTTTCTTTCTCCCTGGCACATTATTGTCCAACCATTTGTCTACCTAACTGTTGTTGTTTCTCCCTGGGCTTTATCTCTGCCTATTCGCTCACTCCTTCACACTGAACACGCCGTCCCTTCACTTCAGTTCTGAAGAAGGGTCAGTGGACTTCAAACATTTAACTCTGCTTTCTCTGTACAGATGCTGCCAGACTTGCTGAGCTTCTCCTGCAATTTCTGTTTCTGGGAGACATCCCATACAGGCCTGCAGATTTACCTGCTTACAAGCTGCTATGCCTTAAAACCACAGTCCTGCAATTGGGAGACATGTAATGTGTATTGCCGAACAGCTTTCAGCAATTTAAATTATGGTCATAGATCATAGAATCCCCACAATGTGGTTACAGGCCTTTCGGCCCAACAAATCCACACCGACCCTTTCAGCATCCCACCCAGACCCATCCCCCATAATCTACATATCCCTGAACACTATGGGCAATTTAGCATAGCCAATTCACCTGCAAAGACAAAATACCTCACCTCAATGTTACGTTATTTTTCTATTTCAGTTCTCCACTCTGATATTTATATCTCTGTTGTCCCTTTCCATTGTGAAAACCAATCCAGACTGTTCATTGAGGGCTGTGCTGACGTCTGCTGGGATCACACAGATCACCTCTAATGGGCCATACTCTTTCCCTATTTATTTTTTTGCTCTTTATATTTTTAACAAAACCCTTAATTGTACCAGCCAATGCTTTCTCACCCACTCTTCTAATGTTTCTAAGTTCCTTTGAAGTTACCCTATGCACTTTTTCTCTTCTCTTACTTTATTGCAGCTTTAGCCAGTTTTTGTTTCTCTCTATGCACTGCGGCAAATGTATGTGTTATGTGGTTTTAATTTCATTTCTGCTACCTCCCACATTCTACCATCCGCAAACTTGATCTCACTCACAACTCTTATTCTTTGAGATCCGAAGTTCTGTTCATCCATCACTCCTGTGCTCTCTGACCTATGTTGAATTCTGGTTAAGCAACGCACCTATGATGCTGCTTGGCCTGCTGTGTTCATCCAGCCCTGCACCTTGTTGTCTCGGATTCTCCAGCATCTGCAGTTCCTACTATCTCTGATTCGATTTTAACCCCACTGCGAAACCTCTTCTAAGGATGCCTAACCTGAAGAAGTTACCCTCCTCCCTCCGGACAAACCTCAAGGGATCTCTCTCCTCTATCCCTCTTCTATCCGCCTCCCACTCTCTCCCTATTTATTTCAAAACCCCCTTCCCCTCCCCCTTTTCTGATGAAGGGTCTAGGCCCGAAACGTCAGCCTCTCTACTCCTATGATGCTGCTTGGCCTGCTGTGTTCATCCAGCCCTGCACCTTGTCGTCTCGCATTGATCTTAAAATTTTTTTTCGTATTTCCAAATCTCTCCCATAGGGCCTCACCCCTCCCTCTCTCTCTGTGTGTTATCTCCCTCGTCCAGGCACACATTCCTTTGAGATCTCAGTAATTATGACAATTTCAGCATCTCCAATTTCAATAGCAGAAAGTGCTAGAGAAACCTGACGGGCTCCGGCAGTATCTGTAGACGCAGTTTCATGTTTGGAGACCAATGAGACTCTTTTTCAGAGTCCAGCAGGCGCCAGGACGTGATTTTAGTTTTTGTGTCCAGTTTTATTCACTCCACGACAACAGTTGAGTTCTGAGGAAGGGTCACTTACAAAACGTTAACTCTTGATTTTCTTCCTCACAGATGCTGCCAGTCCTGCTGAGCTTTTCCAGCAACTTCTGTTTTTGTTCTTGATTTACAGCATCCGCAGTTCTTTCGGTTTTTATTCGCTTCACCATCGCCTTCAGTAGCCTGGGCCTTAAGAATAGTCCTCACCTCAATTTCCCCCTTTAAGATGCTACTTAAAATCTATATTCCTCTAACCAAACTTTTGCCCATCGGCTGTAATAGCTCATTAGGCGCATTAATGTCCAGTTTTACTTTATAACGCTCCATTAAGGTGGCAAAAGGGCGTTATATCAACGCATATTGTTGTTAAGCAATGGAGTCTGAAATAATCAGAGATAGTAAGAACTGCAGATGCTGGAGAATCTGAGATAACAACGTGTAGAGCTGGATGAACACAGCAGGCCAAGCAGCATCATAGGAGCAGAAAGGCTGACATTTTGGGCCTGGACCCTTCTTCAGAAATGGGGGAGGGGAAGGGTGTTCTGAACTAAATAGGGAGAGAGGGGGAGGCGGATAGAAGATGGATAGTGGAGAAGATAGGTGGAGAGGAGACAGACAGGTCAAAGAGGTAGGGATGGAGCCAGTAGAGGTGAGTGTAGGTGGGGAGGTAGGGAGGAGATAGGTCAGTCCAGGGAGGACGGACAGGTCAAGGGGGCGGGATGAGGTTAGTAGGTAGGAGATGGGGGTGGGGCTTGAGGTGGGAGGAGGGGAGAGGTGGGAGGAAGGACAGGTTAGGGAGGCGGGGACGAGCTGCGCTGGTTTTGCGATGCAGTAAAGGGAGGGGAGATCTTGAAGCTTGTGAAGTCCACATTGACACCATTGGGCTGCAGGGTTCCCAAGCGGAATATGAGTTGCTGTTCCTGCAACCTTTGAATGGCATCATTGTGGCACTGCAGGAAGCCCAGGATGGACATGTCGTCTGAGGAATGGGAGGGGGAGTTGAAATGGTTCGCGACTGGGAGGTGCAGTTGTTTATTGCGAACCAAGCGTAGGTGTTCTGCAAAGCGGTCCCCGAGCCTCCGCTTGGTTTCCCCAATGTAGAGGAGGCCACACCGGGTACAGCGGATGCAGTATACCACATTGGCAGATGTGCAGGTGAACATCTGCTTGATGTGGAAAGTCTTCTTGGGGCCTGGGATGGGGGTGAGGGAGGAGGTATGGGGGCAGGTGTAGCACTTCCTGCGGTTGCAGGGAAAAGTGCCGGGTGTGGTGGGGCTGGAGGGGAGTGTGGAGCGGACAAGGGAGTCACGGAGAGAGTGGTCCCTCCGGAAAGCAGACAAGGGTGGGGAGGGAAAAATGTCTTTGGTGCTGGAGACAGATGGAGCCGGGCACCCATTCGTAAACTGTGTTTATACCTTATGGGACGAACAATTTGGTTTCTCCCACATTCATACAATTTCGGTCTCGTTCTTTATTAAAGCCGATTGCAACAAGGAAACACAACTCTGTCGAGTGACCCTTCCTCAGAATGTCACTCAACCCAAAAAGTTAACTCTGATTTCTCTCTACAGATGCTGCCACACCTGCTGAGCTTTTCCAGCAATTTCTGTTTTTGTGTTAAAAACATTTTTAACATTTGCTGGGCATTTGCTGAAATGGGAAATATTTGTCTCCAAGTCTGGATGGGATGTAAACTTTAAAATAACTAGCAAAGCACGTGTGGCGCAGTGATGGTCCCTCGACCATTGAGCCAGGGGCTAGTGGTTAACTTCCTTCCTGCTCCATAGGCCTCTAATAGTAACTTTAATCAGGTTGATAAGAAAGTATGTAAAATATCTCGCTACAAGTATCCTTTATTGATTTTGCAGACATCTCTTCGCAATTAGCAACAGTCTTTATTTATCTTCACTTCAAAAAGGGACATGAACCTTTTCCGTTCGTGTTTTAATGGAATATAGATAATGGGAGTTTAAATCTTAAGGAAATGCGCTTTAACGTTTAGCTTACTGCAAGAGTCCGCTTTTATTTGCGCGCCTTTTCCCATTCAAAAAATTTGAATGAGGGTCGGGCAGCGGGAGCGGCCGTCATTGGCCGGCGGCCCAGGCGTCTGTCCAATCAAAAGAGGGGGCGTGGGAGGGCGGGGTACCGGTTTGATGGATGTAGTTCTTGGCCAATGGATGGGAGGGCTGGCGGCGAACGTGTCCAATAGGAGGAAGGTATGTGACGACACGGAGGCGGGCGGGGTATATAAGGAGGGCGCAGGCCCGGGCCTGGCGCCATTTTGGAAGGTGAAGAGCTCGGTGAGAGGAAGATGTCGGGACGAGGGAAGAGCAGCGGCGGTAAAGCCCGGGCTAAGGCCAAGACGAGGTCGTCGCGGGCCGGCTTGCAGTTCCCGGTCGGCCGGGTGCATCGCCTGCTGCGCAAAGGCAACTACGCGGACCGGGTGGGGGCCGGCGCCCCGGTTTACCTGGCGGCCGTGCTCGAGTACCTGACCGCCGAGATCCTCGAGCTGGCGGGAAACGCGGCCCGGGACAACAAGAAATCTCGCATCATCCCCCGGCACCTGCAGCTCGCCATCCGTAACGACGAGGAGCTCAACAAGCTGCTGGGGGGAGTCACCATCGCCCAGGGAGGCGTCCTGCCCAACATCCAGGCCGTGCTGCTGCCTAAGAAATCTGGCTCGGGCCCGGCCATTGGCGGCGGAGGAGGTGGAGGAGGCGGCAAGAGCGGTGGCAAGAAGAGCTCTCAGCAATCGCAGGAGTTCTAGATCCTTCTCTGTTGCCCCGTCCTCTTTTCACCACAAAAAAAAACTCTCCAACACACTCTCTCCCATTCCCCGTATTTGTGTTCTCTTCTTAAACCCCTCCCCACCACCAACCACATCTCAATTTCCCCAATTCTCTCTGCCTGCCCTATTTCTTCTCCCGACTCCTAAATTTCCCCAACACTGCCATTGACCCCCTCAAATTCCGCCGCTAATTTTCTCCCCGACTCCTCCCCTCTTCCTCCTCCCCCAAATTCCCCTCAACTCTACTATCCTCCCTCTTCCCCCACCCCCGACTTTAACTTTGATTTCCTCCTTCCTCACCTGTTCCCTTCCCCACATCCCACACCCTGCACTTGCCCTCATTCACTTCACCCTGATTCCCTTCCTTCTCTCTTGTACCCTGCTATTTTTCATCCTATTTTGTGTACTCTTTTCTCCCTTAACTGCAAGAAAATCACAAGATGGACATTGTGACAGACTTTAAAACCTTCCCCCATCAATGGCCCTTCTCAGGGCCACTCACACATGAACGCAAGGGGTTCCTGGCATTTGTATGTTTTCTGTTTTATTTTTGTGGTCAAGATTGTCCTTTTTTATTTGGAGAAATTTTCAGTGAATTTCTTGATTCATCTAAGTCTTTGTTTTGGGGGTTGGTGGATAGTGCATTTATCAGTTACATGGGTTGGATTTATTATGGGATTTAGTCAGTTTTCTTTTTCTCTAAGTTTGCCTTAAACTTTTTGCAATGGGAGGGTTGTGTTTTTTTAATGCTTCACTGAAGACTTCAGTATTCGCTTGGGGTGGAGATGTTTTCTTACTCAAGTCTGACAAGATAGCTGTGTTGAGCTGCAGGCTGTTGGCAACTTTTGTCCTGTTGCAGCAAGGCAGTTCATTAGATTATTTTTGAGATGTCTCAAGACTTGTAATTGAAATGTGCTTGTCCCAATATAATTGTAGCCTTTACAGTTCAGTAGTAAATGAGTTGTGTAACCTCAACTGTAACTGTTCAAATCAACCTTTTTTCTCTGACAAATGTGGTGCTACCTCAAGTATCCAGCTACATTTACATTTGAGGTTTCCTGTATAATGTCAAGATTACTGTTCTGGCTTGTCCTTAATGCAAGTAATTTGATTTCAAACTGCATATTAAGTTTAGTCAAGATTAGAGATGAGATTAATTTTTGAAAACTGAGTAAAGCTGCCTTTTTAGTAGGTGTGCAGCGGCATTTTGTAGACTGTTTTGGCACATGTATAACTGAATTCTACACTGATTTTTTTTTGGAAACCTGTTTGAACTGTCTTTAGATACAACAGTGGCATTCCATGTATATAAAAGTGAAACAATTTGTCTGGTCTGCTCTTTGCCAAGCTATTTGACTTGGGTGGGTGAGAGGAGATTTTAGTCAGTTCAGAATAAAGATTTACCTATTTACTTTTTGAAATTTGGAATTTGTATAGAGCTTATTTTCAAATTCCCTTTGTTTAATGTGAAGGTACTGAGAAGCATACTTGTGGCATATTGTGCATATTTCACCTTTTTTATTAATACAGCACTTGTACCCTACAAACCATTACACTTCACTTTCTGACCATGGTATTGCTGCGTTTAGTGTTACCCTTCAGGATGGCTAGCATAGAATCAGTGCAGAAGATCTCCTTCAGCTCATTTTCTCCACTAACACAAACTGAACTCAATGCTAGGCCCATAGCTTTGAATGATATGACGCTTTAAGTGCTCACCTACGTTACACATTTCAACCATCCTCCTCTTCAAGAGCGTGTCACTGTGGTTAGTGATACTGCCCCTCAGTGCCAGGGTCCTGGGTTCAATCTGGCCTTGGGTGACTGTCTAAAGTTTGAATGTTCTCACTGTGTGTCTGTGTAGGCTTGTCAGGTTCTCTGCTTTCCTTCCACAGATCAAGGATGTGCAACTTTGGATCAGATGTAGTAAATGTGGCAATAGGGTGGGGGCGGGGCTGGTCTTCAGAGGGTTGGTGCAGACCTGATGGGCCGAATGGCCTCTTTCCACACTGGGATTCTAGGAAATATTCTTCCAAATTCCTCTACCCCTTCAGTCTCCTGCCATTCACTTTAAAATTATGCCCCTTGTTGTTACCCCCTTCAACTGGGTTTGTATGTTTCGCTCCATAAATCCTAACCAGGCCCTGTTTCTGCCTTCTGTGCTCCAAAGAACCTGACCTTATTCAGCCTCTTCATAGCTTAAAGGTCTGTTAACATCTTGCTCGATCTCCTCTGCACCTCATTCATTGCAATAGCATTTTGCAAAAGTGCAGTGGCTGACCTACATGTGATACTTCAGCTGTGGCATCAATGCCATGATTGATAAAGGAAAGAGTCCTGTATACCTTGATAGTGTAATCTAACCACCTGCCTTCAGGGTCAGCAATGGCGACTCGGTATACTACTTGTTCTCCCAAGTGGTCAGTTATACAGCATGGGAATAGATCCATCAGTCTGTTCTGACCAGATTCCTAAACTGATCTAGCCCCCTTTTGGCCTCTAAGCTGTTCCTATTCATGTACCCATCCAGATACCCTTTTAAATGTTGTAATTGCATCTACCTCCACCAGTTCTTTCTGTATAAATACAGAAAATGCTGAACTCTGGCTCACCACCTGGGAATTGGCACTTAATTCCACCAATACTTATCTTGTAAAAGGCAGTGTTTATTTTCACACTATTTTGGACATTTGCTGTCTTAACTTGCTGAGTGTCTCTAGCATCTGTAATTATTGTTTTGTTAGGCATAGCTATTTCTTGCTACTCTGTCCCTTGACCAAAACGCACCAGGCCCCTAGTTCCTGGCTGTCAGCTAATGACAAGGATTTTTCTTTGTTTCCAATCAACTTCTTGCCCTGTATGCATCAATCTTCTCTACAAACCTTTAGCATTGATGGAATTTGAGTTTTCGCTGGAAAGGCCAGCAGGATGTTTAGAAGAACCTTTAAAACTCAAACATAGCTGTGATTCAGAAGTCCTGTTTGGGCAGACTGTAAATGATTGGTTGCCTTCCCCAAATAGTATTAGTGAGGCAGTAGGTTTTTACAGCAACAAATGATAGCAGTCAACATTCCTGCGTTTTCAATTCTAGATTAAAGGCATTTCATTTGCATCATCTACAGTGATAGGATTTTAACCCATATGTTCAGTGTTTGTTTGGGCCTATTTACTGTACATGGCCTTAATGCTGAAATTATTAGATGTACTCATCCTAGTGGATGCTAAAGCTTTTTTTCTCAAAAAAATACTCAAATGGGCAATACAATGTGGAATGTTCAATTTAACTGTTGAAAAGACATTGACTTGAACTGTTGATTTTCTCTACAGATGTTGACATGTTGAAAATGTTTTCATTATGAGCAAATGATAGTAGCCTCAGGTGGAGGGCAGGAATGGCTAAATGTCAGAATGCTATAGTGGTGCAAGGCAATGAGGTATTGAGAAAATTGCTCGGAGCAATGGCTGCAAATCTTTGCATTCGAGAAAGCTTAAACCTGGCAAGGTAGCCCATGTGGCTTGTGGGTAGGAAACACTGAAATTTCTTTAAGTGAAGACTTTACCTGATGAGCTATTTCAAGCACTAGGTCACACCTCTTCCACTCCTGTGCCTACTGACTGACTGATAATGGAACCTAAAGATGTTAGGAGTAAAGTAGAAACATAAAATGAATATTCTTAATCAACCTGTTTAGATACGCTGTGAGAACACCCCTGAAGTAAATGAGATCTGAACCAAAGCCCTTTTGTTTTCTTAGCGGCAGGGATTCCACTGCTATACTGTGAGCCTAAAGACAGTAAAAGCTGTTTCTCACTTGCATAACATGCCAATAGAATGGAGAATCAAAATGGTAAATTTAAGGTGTCACGTCTCAATCTCCCAATTTCGTCTCCTGTATTGGAAGACCAGTTTAAGATGTTGAAGAGCTATGCTGGTACGTAAGCAAGTCTTTGGAGGGGATGTCTTTCTCAAGGTGTTTGCCTGGATCTCTGGTTTAAAGATTAGACATTACTGTGCCATTTTATCCCTGCCTGCCTATCTAAATGCAGTCATAACTGTATATGAAGTCATCAAAACCAAGGATCCAGGACCATGGTGAATTGTGTTGATCTACCCATTCACTAACATTGAATAATATATAGTAGTGAGTGAATGTTATATCCTGAAGGATGCACTTATAACAAGAAATATAATGAGGAGCCACCTCTAATTGGAACATGACAGCTATTTTACAAGATGCTTACTATCACCCGTCTGGGATCTTTTTATACCAAGCTATGGTACTTAGGTCCTGCACTGTAACTTGTATAAGAGTGGGATTGTGGTTGTTTGTTTGAAATGCTGTCCTCTTTGTGCTCCCTTTTGCCCTTAGACTTTGTTCCTCCACAGTAGCAGACATAGAACAAAGATACCTGGATTATCTTTTTCATTGCAAAACTTGTGTATGAGAACCTAAGTCAATGAAGGATGTTTTCTCCACTTACGTTTAGCCATTGCTAACTTGTTGAAATTAGTGATTTAATGGCAGCAGAACAGTGTGTTGCTGACTTTTAAAATATGCCACATGTTGAGTATAGATTGTAAATTAGCTGACAGTGCAAACAGAACTTTTTTATTGTAAATTAATGGCCTCAGGAATTGCTTTCTGGTGTGATTGAGCTGTAAGATGTGTATGCATGTCATACACTGAGCTGAATGGATGGATACCTCACTGCTACAAGACCATAAACAGGAACAGGAGTTGGCCATTTGGCCCTCAAACCTGCTGTGCCATTCAATAGGATACTGGCTAGCACATTCTGACTCCATGTACTTTCTACATTTATAATAGACTGCAGTGGTATTGGTCACGACCAATACTGTAAAGCACTTCTGATAGGGAGTTGGTGTTTGTTTGCTTAAGGATGCTTGTAGGTTGTGTCCCTATCTCTGAGCTGGATCAAAAGTATTTAAACTTTTCCTCTGACTTTCAGATAAAGCTTAACTGACAATGACTTAAATGTTTGGCTTTCTTCAAAGCCAGGAATTCCATTTTCACACTTCCACCTAACTGAAAAATGCAGAAGTAAGTTTAAATTAGCCTATGTTTAATTGAAAGCCAGTTAATTTGAATCTTTTGATTAGCTTTTATTGGCCCTTATGATGAGCTACCTCCTTGAGTCAGTGGTTCATATGATGTAGCTGTACCTGCAATATTATCTGATGGGGTATGTAATTTGTTTAATAGCAACTGTGAAGGAAAGACAATATCATCTGGAAGTCAGGATTGGGGTGTAACTTGGAGGTCGACTTGCAGGTGCTATTTCCTCCTTTCGCACGCTCTGTCTTGTGCTGTCTTCCCAATGCACACGTGTTCTTTAAAGTGGTAAAGTTGTCTGGCAAGGTGTTTTCAAAGGCACTTTCCTGCAGTACTCCCTGTAGATGGTACACTGCCAGTAGTGGAAGGAGTGACTGTTTAACAATGGTGGGTGGGGTGACCATCACATACATTACTTTAACCTGGCAGGTGTCAAGCTCCTTAGCTCCAAGTTTTTGGAGCTGCACTCCAGTTGAGGCCAGGATTATCCCATGTACTTGTTTTTTTATTTCTTCAGTAACCTCAGTTCTTATGCATGAACATGGAACAATTGTAGTCTTTGCCCTTTTGCCAGCTTCTTGCTCTGAAGTCAAGTAGCTTTGGCCTGTAACTGAGATTATTGGACTTGAGCAATTGCTTGTAGAATCCTGAGAATAAATAGTATTTACCAAGATTTCTGAGCACATATGGAATATTGATTATGGGAAGGGGTATCTAAAGAGGGCTTAGCATTCAAATTATTACTTATGAGTTGAGTTCCAGTCCATCTGAGCTTGTGTATGATCAGTGAATATTGTGTAGAAAGACAAAACCTTTGGTCTCCAGTCACTTTGTCTTTTTAACAGACAAAACTGAGCTCTACGTATAATCCTTGGTTCCAGAATCTGAAAATATCTTGCAATCACCCTGTTAAGAATCCTGTTTTAACCCGTTAAAGGGCAACCAACCATGTTGGTTTAGAATTGTGGGGACACTATTCATATCGAGGTCCAAGTACATTTTTGTATCTTGAGTTTCTTTCCCCCTCTTTAATCTTAGAATTCAGGAACATCCTATTCAAAAATATTTGATAAATCAAATACAAAAACTAAGAACAGCAATTCAAATTGGTTGCCTCCCTATCAGATCTGTACTTTGGTCTCCAATTGTTAATATATTTGCATGTGACCTGGATGATGGGATGGAGTTGTGTATCCAAGTTTGCCGTGAGGTAGATGCCAGGTTAAGTATTCTATTTGGAGGTGAAATTGCGAAGGGGCATCAATAGAATAGGTGAATAAGTGTAACTTGCAGATGGAGCTATGCACAACAGCAACTTCCAAGCTTCTTTTGATAGTACCTTCCAA